TTCAAATAAATCATGGTTGTACGGCAGTGAAGCATCGGTGTTGAACACTGATGTCATGATGTTGATGATGATGAAGATGATGAAGTTCTAAAGGAGACCAGTTGAAAACAATTTAGCTGTAGTACCTGTACCAGACGTGACGCTCTTCAACCAGCTGTCATATATCTGTCTAAAGGAGATTTACTCTATTACAAATTACACTTCCACACCACTCTGACCCAACCTGCAAAAAGCCCAACACCAACTAAATCTCGCAGTGTTCCTCATTACAGACAACGTTCAATACACCTCTGAATCTTTGATGCAATAGCTTACATGCTGTACGCTTTCGGTCTTCGTTTTGCCGGTCTTCTGCTTAACGAGCATATTTTTCAGTACTAAGCTTGCCATAAGCCTTTCCGTCAGTGTCGCCTACCTAAGATGTAGCGCATGGAGCGCTCGTATATACACTTCCAGAAAGGGGCATCCTGTTATACAAATAGATTCTTATTTTGCCCTGATAATATTCGCTCTTTAGCTGATGAGTGCCATTGATATGTTTTCTCTAGAGGTTTCCAATTCCAGGGGTTTACATAGGTTTTCCATCCTCGGCCGTCCATTGTTCGCCTGTAGCTTAGGGGAGCGGATAAAGGACATAATCAGATTGTGGGAACGTGATGTGGCGAACAAGGCTTGGTTCTTGCTCATGTTTAATTGATAAGCCATTACAACTCAAATCCCGATGAATTGGAGAACCATAGGTTGGCTCTTAGAACGCAAACAGATAGTGGAGATGTGTGAAATGTGCCGTGTTCGGTCGGTTTCTCGAAGCTCAAGCTACTCTGACTGTGTGCTTAGACCGTGGTTCTACACGCAGATCAGGCTTACGACATCTGATGCAAATCGCCTCTGTAACCGTTGAGATAATCGAACTCGGATTAATCTTGACTCGTTAGGATGAAGTCAGCGGATGACTTTAAATGCTCCTTGTGCATTAACACTAGTTAAACCTAACGGAACTTGCAGTGATTGATGATGGTAGTGTATGATAGTATGTATGCCATGTACATACATGTATGTTATAGCTGAGCAATAACCACCTACTTGCTACTGTGACAAGCGTTACACCCTACACAAGATATGTAGACTAAGTGTCATGTGTTGACCCGACTCCTGACTTAAATCACATTCTGGCGGTTTAATCATACCCTTACACATTTTGTCCGCAGACTGACAAACAAAGCAACTTTTTGAATGTACAACTCAGTAAAAGAGCGTAGCAATTCTTACGGATGGCCCGCTAGAAGTAGACATCCATTTTGATAGCTTTGCATCTGCAAAGCAACGATAACATAATTAAATGCTTCATCCGGAAGTCAAAAGGAGAAGAGCTAGTAAGCAAGACATTTTACCGAATTGACTATTCGGTCGCTTGATATCGAAAATAATGCGTTTGATAGAGTTCGAATGAAAACTGGATTAGGGAGAGAAGTACGCAACTACAAGAGACGACTCTTAAGCGCACATCATAATAACAGTTGGGGTAACAGTTTGAAGTTGTGTACTGTCGTAATGAGTTGCGCTTGAGTTTCTTTTTCGGTTTAGTGATTTTGACCCATAAGACAATGTACCTAGTTCAACTTCCAGTTTTTGTTGTTGATCAAGTGGCGGCTGACCTGTTTGTTGAGTTTGGCAGTCGGTTTGCAAACGTTTTCCTCCCATTTGGGGAGATCTTGTCGATGGGTGATTGGATAACTGATCCACCCAACGCAGCCTGATGGCTGGAGCGAAGTATTGATTCCCGGAATGTATATTCATGATTTCACAGGGCGTGAGTTACCGAATCAAGCACCATGCGCCTCTTCTATGGTTACTTACAAAGTAGACTATTGCCCTCTCACATCAAAAGCTTCATGTAATATATAGTATGCATATATATAATAAAGGCATGATGCAAATAGTGCACTAGTAAGCTGTCTCCTCCTTGGTGGCCATAGTTTGGGTGTAGCGGTTCCCGTGTCACCACCTAACTTATCCCGTCTCTAGAATTTAAGAATCGGTTTACAGTGTTTTCAAGATTTAAATTCATGAACTGCCGTCCGCCAAATTGAGCGATAATTCAATGCATCATTATGACAAAGTTTACTCCAAAAATTGCGCACCATGTAGTACACTATCCTCCATAAGTCCACATAGACCGTTTATCATTGGTATTAACATGAACGGAAGCCACAGACTCCTAGGGAGACTTGAACGTGTATTTAGTCTTTTTTGACTAACTTATTGAAAGTTTTCTATGTACGACCACACCAGACAATTTATACCTTTAAATTACGAGCCTTTGGAGACAAATGAGTGGGTCCGTTACGGTCTAGCCAACCGTTCCTTTCTAGGTTGTGCAGGTTCCTCTCTTGTCACCCATATTGTTGTAAGGCGGTTAGCAAATACGGTGTGGGCGTCGCCCAACGGCAGCAGGCCAGATAAGGCGAGTTCACTTGTGGGACCCGGTGCTCGTGCCGTGTTTCGAAGACACTTGTCTTGTTTGCTCTAAATTTAATGATAATAGTGATTGACGTTTCGCTCGCCGCTCCTATTTCAGTTCTCCAACTACCTAGTCATCACCATGCCAGTAAATCACTTGGGTCGTTATCAGGTAAAATCAGAAGTCATGCTGAATGGAATGAAGGTGAGTTCCATAGTTCTATATTTCGAATCAAGCTTCTATTGACAGTTCAATTTTTCAAGGGTGGTGATGGCCAGGTTTTACGACTGCAAAGTGACACTGAATGTTCTGTGCGTTGTAGACCCTGCCTCTCACCGATAAGCTAGTGTTACGCCGATCTTAAAGGAAAGTAGAACGGGATCCGGCGACTCCAACACTTACTTCGTTAGTGGTGTGTGATGCGGCTACTCAGATAAGTGGATCTATTTATTATCTTCAGTGGTTCATTATGCCATGACCGGCTTCGGCAGCGTAACCACTCGGTTTTGTAACTGAACTGTTCACGCTGATAGTGCAAAGCTTATACCAAGTCACATAGCTAAATATTGCAGATAGTTTGATGTATTTTCTATTTTTTTGGGAGTTGAGCCGCATAGCTCGATATCCTTTCCGTACTCCGGATTTTTAAGGTAAGTCTTCGGATAGAAGAAATGACAGGCGTTGTTTCCGTCAGGAGTTTGATTACGAACCCATAGAGAAGGCCACCATCAGTAATGACCACAGTAGAACACTCTATGCAAACTTTCATGCTCAAATGTTTTGGAATATAATGATTCGGAGTATCCGGAACACAGTAACGCGGTCAGCTGAGCCCTAAATTGTCTTAGACACAAGAAGTTAACGATGATTAACCTATATGTGTGGTGATGTTCAATAATTTGTAAGTCAAAGATACTTCGGCCCCCGATGGAACCTTGCATAGCTCTTACCATTATGCTTCTCGCAGGTGTTTGTAAGCCTACATACCGTGATACTTGTTAACAGCTCAACCAATGGGCACTTGACTGATACTCCGAGAATTCCCCATTTAGACAATAATATTTTTACAGACGAACAACAGTAAGTTGCTGAATTTCGTCAAATACTTTTGGAAATCAAGAATCCGGTGCTACTCAAAAAACACCTGTTCTGTGTGATTTCATTTGAATTGATAATCCATGCACCTTCGGGCTATAAAAGGCCCCTGCTGCTTTGTAAATCAGCTGTTGATGCCAAAGTCTCGGAATGGGGCGTCTCCTGCTCGCACCGGACGTGGATTTTAAGAAGGAGAAGATTCCTCTTCTGCGAATAGAGCGTGAAAGCTGAGAGCTTTTCTAGATAAGGACAAAGCAGACGCGCCTGAAAGATGAACCGCTATTATTGAAACGGAAGTCAAATGCTACAGGACTAAATCAGCCGATTTCAGTGTAACTCAGCCGTTTGATGAAGAGAAGCCGCAGGAGGCTAGCTCTGGTATTACCGTCTGCTAGAGTAGAACAACACATGACAGCAGCAATAAACATGATAATGGGTTCACAGATGCAGATCACATGAATGAGATTATAATGGGCCTACTGAAATGGACCAACTTGAGAGGGAAGGCCATCTGACTCCTGCCGTCCGTTTATCGGCCCCTATACCCATAAAATGTCACCCTGAGGTCGGGAGAAGATCCATTTCTTCGATCAACTGTCGGTGCGACCTGAACGTCCAAGCGACTCCCTATTCCTGTTGGACGATTTCAAAGACCGGTTTTACAGGCACTAGGAACCCTGGAAAATGACACTGGGACCATTAAGAATCGAATCAGTGAGCAACAGCGGTGGAAGAATGCTAACAAAAATATGATTCATCGTGGAGCAGACGTCACTTGTGAGACGGACTCAGTCATATATATATATATA